ACGTGTTGTAACACTGGGTGTTGCTACACTACTATGATAGTACGTGCTGGTAACACTGGGTGTTGCTACAACTACTAGAATAGTTACGTGTGGAACAGTGTTGCTACACTACAAGATAGTTACTCTGGAAACCCAGTGTTTGCTACAATACATGATAGTTACGTGTTGGAAAACACTGGTGTTGCACACAAACTATGATATTTAACGTTCTGGTAACACTGGGTGTTCTACACAAACTATGATAGTTACTGTTGGTAACAGGGGTTGCTACACTACTATGATAGTTACGTGCTGGAACAGTGTTGCTACACTAACTATGATAGTTACGTTGCTGGTAACAGTGTTGCTACACTAAAATGATAGTTACGTGCTGGTAACAGTGTTGCTACACTACTATGATAGTTACGTGCTGGTAAACAGTGTTGCAACATTACTAATAGTTACGTGCTGGTAACAGTGTTGCTACAATACTATGATAGTTACGTGCTGGTAACAGTGTTGGTACACTACTAATATAGTTACTTGTTGGTAACAGGGGTTTGCTACACTACTATGATAGTTACGTGCTGGTAACAGGTTGCTACACTACTAGATAGTTACGTGCTGGTAACAGTGTTGCACACTACTATGATATTTTACGTGTTGGTAACAGGTTGCTACACTACTATGAAGTTACGTGTTGGTAACAGTGTTGCTACTCTACTATGATAGTTACATGTTGGTAACAGTGTTGCTACACTACTATGATAGTTACGGTTGGTAACAGTGTTGCTACTCTACTTGATATTTTACGGGGTTGGTAACATGTTGCTACACTACTATGATAGTTACGTGTTGGTAACAGTGTTGCTACTCTACTATGATAGTTACATGTTGGTAACACTGGGTGTTGCTACACTACATGATATTTTACGTGCTGGTAACAGTGTTGCTACACTACATGATAGTTACTTGCTGGAAACAGTGTTGCTACACTACTATGATAGTTACGTGCTGGTAACAGTGTTGCTACACTACTATGATAGTTACGTGCTGGTAACAGTGTTGCTACACTACTATGATAGTTACTTTGTTTTGTAACAGTGTTGCACCTACTATGATAGTTACGTGTTGTAACATGTGCTACACTACTATGATAGTTACGTGCTGGAACAGTGTTGCTACACTACTATGATAGTTACGTGCTGGTAACAGTGTTGCTACACTACTATGATAGTTACGTGTTGGTAACAGTGTTGCTACACTACTATGATAGTTACGTGCTGGTAACAGTGTTGCAACACTACTATATATTTACGTGCTGGTAACAGTGTTCTACACTACTATGATATTACGTGTTGGTAACAGTGTTGCTACACTACTATGATAGTTACGTGTTGGTAACAGTGTTGCACACTACTATGATAGTTACGTGCTGGAACAGTGTTGCTTACACTACTAATGATAGTTACGTGCTGGTAACAGTGTTGCTACACTACTATGATAGTTACGTGCTGGTAACAGTGTTGCTAAAACTACTATGATAGTTACTGCTGGTAACAGTTTCTCACACTACTATGATAGTTACGTGTTGGAAACAGTGTTGCTACACTACTATGAAAGTTACGTGCTGGTAACAGTGTTGCTACACTACAAAGATAGTTACGTGTTGGTAACAGTGTTGGTACACTACTATGATATTTTACGTGCTGGTAACAGTGTTGCTACACTACAAATGATAGTTACGTGCTGGTAACAGCCCGGAACTGAGGGGGACTCGTCAGTAGTGTAACAACAATATATTTGTATCTAGGGAGGTTTCAGAAATTTCCGTTGCAGTGGAGATGGGATTTTAATTTCTTGGGAATTACCATCACATGAAAAGGGAAATTTTATAGATATATATCATCACACGGCGAGATAAGACACTAAAATAATTTAATATTACCTGTGCATATATTTATACCCGGTGTGAATTCATTGTTTGAATAATTCCTTGAAAATTATCTTGACCATTAGGAAACCAGGGCTGCTTTACTGATCCTCAACGACATGAAGGTAATCCAAGATGATCCAAGGTAGGCAGGATTACGATACATTATATTACATCAGATATAACTCAATATAACCTTGAACACAGGGAGTTGACACACATGTATAAGAGGAAATGATAGGAAAAATAATTATATAATCCGTATCCATGGTTGCTTGGCTCAGATTATAAACAACTGCTGCTGCTGCTGTTCTCTTCCTCCTCCTCTTACCACTACTGCTGCTGCTGCTGCTGCTACTGCTATTACCACCACAACCGCTGCTGCTGCTGCTGCTGCTGCTGCTGCTGCTGCTGCTGCTGCTGCTACTGCTATTACCACCACAACCGCTGCTGCTGCTGCTGCTGCTGCTGCTGCTGCTGCTGCTGCTGCTGCTGCTGCTACTGCTATTACCACCACAACCGCTGCTGCTGCTGCTGCTGCTGCTGCTGCTACACACTTTCATTTTCGAAATTAGATATATCAGCAGTGTGTTGCTTCTCCTCATTCATGACAGTTACATTTTGGAAACAAAAGCTGGCTGTATTTACCTCTCATGTTGCGTCACACAGGATGGGCTTCCCTCTCATGTTGCGTCACACAGGATGGGCTTCCCTCTCATGTTGCGTCACACAGGATGGGCTTCCCTCTCATGTTGCGTCATACAGGATGAGCTTCCCTCTCATGTTGCGTCACACAGGATGGCTTCCCTCCATTTGCGTCATACAGGATAGCTTCCCCCCTCATGTTGCGTCACACAGGATGGGCTTCCCTATCCCTGTTGCGTCATACAGGATGAGCTTCCCTCTCCATGTTGCGTCACACAGGATGGGTCACAGACATAAGTTGACATGTGTCAGTTTGTGCTGGGAGACTAGTAAGGCAATTAGGGTATTAAGTATTCATGGAGGGGTGTTTTGGTGGGGGGTGACGTGCGGGGTGAGAATTGTGGCGGGTACGGAAGGGGGGATAGGGAAAGGGGGGAGGGAAGGGGGAGTAGGGAAGGGAAGGTTAAAAAGACACATCATCGTGTTGAACAACTAGCCCGTGTTCTGCAAGCTTATGTTGAACAACTAGCCCGTGTTTCTGCAAGCTTATGTTGAACAACTACCCGGTTCTGCAAGCTTATGTTGAACAACTAGCCCGTGTTCTACAAGCTTATGTTGAACAACTAGCCCGTGTTCTACAAGCTTATGTTGAACAACTAGCCCGTGTTCTACAAGCTTATGTTGAACAACTAGCCCGTGCTCTGCAAGCTTATGTTGAACAACTAGCCCGTGTTCTGCAAGCTTATGTTTTAACAACTAACCCGTTTCTGCAAGCTTAATGTTGAACAACTAGCCCGTGTTCTGCAAGCTTATGTTGAACAACTACCCGTTTCTACAAGCTTATGTTGAACAACTAGCCCGTGTTCTGCAAGCTTATGTTGAACAACTAACCCTGTTTCTGCAAGCTTATGTTGAACAAAATAGCCCGTGTTCTGCAAGCTTATGTTGAACAACTAAACCCCTGTTTGAAGCTTATTCCCAACAACTAGCCCGTGTTCTGCAAGCTTATGTTGAACAACTAACCCGTGTTCTGCAAGCTTATGTTGAACAACTAGCCCGTGTTCTACAAGCTTATGTTGAACAACTAGCCCGTGTTCTACAAGCTTATGTTGAACAAGTAGCCCGTGTTCTGCAAGCTTATGTTGAACAACTAGCCCGTGTTCTAAAAAGCTTATGTTTAACAACTAGCCCCGTGTCTAACAAGCTTGCCCTTGAACAACTAGCCCGTTCTGCAAACTTATGTTGAACAACTAGGGCCCGTGTTTCTGCAAGCTTATGTGAACAACTAGCCCGTGTTTGCAAGCTTATTTGAACAACTAGCCCGGTTCTCAAGCTTATGTTTTAGCAACTAGCCCGTGTTCTGCAAGCTTTTGTTGAACAACTAGCCCGTGTTCTGCAAGCTTATGTTGAACAACTAGCCCGTGTTCTACAAGCTTATGTTGAACAACTAGCCCGTGTTCTGCAAGCTTATGTTGAACAACTAGCCCGTGTTCTGCAAGCTTATGTTGAACTAGCCCGTTTCTACAAGCTACGCTGAACAACTAGCCCGTGTTTTTTACAAGCTTATATTGAACAACTAGTCCGTTCTAAAAGCTTTTGTTGAACAACTAGCCCGTGTTCTGCAAGCTTATGTTGAACAACTAGCCCGTGTTATGCAAGCTATGTTGAGCAAATAGCCCGTGTTTTACAAGCTTATGTTAACAACTAGCCCTGTTCTACAAGCTTGCGTTGAACAACTAGCCCGTGTTCTACAAGCTTATGTTGAACAACACCCGTGTTGTGGGAAGCTTATGTTTAACAACTAGCCCGTGTTCTGCAAGCTTATGTTGAACAACTAGCCCGTGTTCCGCAAGCTTATGTTGAACTAGCCCGTGTTCTAACAAGCTTAAAGTTGAACAACTAGCCCGGTTCCGCAAGCTTAAAGTTGAACAACTAGCCCGGTTCTACAAGCTTGCGTTGAACAACCCAGCCCTGTTCTACAAGCTTTTTTGAACAACTAGCCCCTTTCTACAAGCCCTTGCTTTGAACAACTAGCCCGTTTATAAAAAGCTTTTGTTGAACAACTACCCTGTTCCGCAAGCTTATGTAAACAACTAGCCCGTGTTCCGCAAGCTTATGGTTGAACAACTAGCCCGTGTCCCCAACTTATGTTGAACAACTAGCCCGTGTTCTAAAAGCTTATGGGCGAACAACTAGCCCGTTTTTCTGCAAGCTTACGTTGAACAACTAGCCCGTGTTCTGCAAGCTTATTTGAACAACTACCCGTTCTACAAGCTTATGTTTGAACAACAGCCCGTGTTTCCGCAAGCTTATGTTGATCAAATAAACCCGTGTTCTAAAAGCTATGTTGAACAACTAGCCCGTGTTTAAAAAAAATTATGTTGAGCAACTAAACCCGTTTTCCTGCAACTTATGTTGAACAACTAGCCCACATTCCCGCAAGCTTATGTTGAACAACTAGCCCCTGTTCTACAAGCTTGCTTTGAACAACTAGCCCGTGTTATACAAGCTTATGTTGAACAACTAGCCCGTGTTCCGCAAGCTTATGTTAAACAACTAGCCCGTGTTCCGCAAGCTTATGTTGAACAACTAGCCCGTGTCCCGCAAGCTTATGTTGAACAACTAGCCCGTGTTCTAAAAGCTTATGTCGAACAACTAGCCCGTGTTCTGCAAGCTTACGTTGAACAACTAGCCCGTGTTCTGCAAGCTTATGTTGAACAACTAGCCCGTGTTCTACAAGCTTATGTTGAACAACTAGCCCGTGTTCCGCAAGCTTATGTTGAACAACTAGCCCGTGTTTTAAAAACTTATGTTGAGCAACTAGCCCGTGTTCTGCAAGCTTATGTTGAACAACTAGCCCACATTCTGCAAGCTTATGTTGAACATCTAGCCCGGGTTTTGCAAGCTTAAGGTTGAAAAACTAGCCCGTGTTCTACAACTTATGTTGAACAACTAGCCCGTGTTATTGCTATTCTACAATGTGTTCGTGCCGTGTGTGGCGTTGTGGATCTTGACCTCTGTGATAATGTGTCCAGAGGTTATTTTATTCGTTCAATCTTGTTCACTGAACACACTTGATTTGTACTGGCTGGAGCGCAGACAAGAGAGATACATTATAATCTACACTGAAAAAACCTAGAAGGGAATGGTCCCTAATATGCACCCAGTTGAATTTACAGTCCAAGAGCTGTTATCCAACCTCAGCTTATTTGAATGTCCAGCCTCATCTAAGGTATATATTGCCATCTCCTGGAATACTACCCACAACAGTCCACTTACACCCTGGCACTTACGCAGTGATCGCGACAAAGCGATGCAAGTTACAAAACAACCACTCTAGCTAGAGTCCTTTCCTTGAAGGAATATGCCTGAGTTTCCTAATCATTACTGCTACATTGCAAGCTCCTGGTAATGTGTTGATTGCAACATGAAAGGCCTAGAACTGTCATTCAACTCTACATGTGGTTGTTTTGCATCCTCGTACTTTTATTTATTGCTAGATGAAGTGACAAGGAAACCTACCCAGCGTGTCCACCCGTGCCCAGGATCAATCAGTCCTTTCAACCCTCAGTACCTGAGTTAAGGGTGTGCTACCAACTGAGCCACCACACCTTGTTTCTTGTGTCCTCTTCTTCCGTCCATGTCTTGTATCTTTCCCACCTCTGTGTTGAATAATCATCACTCATGACCATTAAGGAACCAGGTTACCTCATCACTCATGACCATTAAGGAACCAGGTTACCTCATCACTCATGACCATTAAGGAACCAGGTTACCTCATCACTCATGACCATTAAGGAACCAGGTTACCTCATCACTCATGACCATTAAGGAACCAGGTTACCTCATCACTCATGACCATTAAGGAACCAGGTTACCTCATCACTCATGACCATTAAGGAACCAGGTTACCTCATCACTCATGACCATGAAGGAACCAGGTTACCTCATCACTCATGACCATTAAGGAACCAGGTTACCTCATCACTCATGACCATTAAGGAACCAGGTTACCTCATCACTCATGACCATTAAGGAACCAAGTTACCTCATCACTCATGACCATGAAGGAACCAGGTTACCTCATCACTCATGACCATGAAGGAACCAGGTTACCTCATCACTCATGACCATGAAGGAACCAGGTTACCTCATCACTCATGACCATGAAGGAACCAGGTTACCTCATCACTCATGACCATTAAGGAACCAGGTTACCTCATCACTCATGACCATGAAGGCACCAAGTTACCTCATCACTCATGACCATGAAGGAACCAAGTTACCTCATCACTCATGACCATGAAGGAACCAGGTTACCTCATCACTCATGACCATGAAGGAACCAGGTTACCTCATGACCATGAAGGAACCAGGTTACCTCATCACTCATGACCATTAAGGAACCAGGTTACCTCATCACTCATGACCATTAAGGAACCAAGTTACCTCATCACTCATGACCATTAAGGAACCAGGTTACCTCATCACTCATGACCATGAAGGAACCAGGTTACCTCATCACTCATGACCATGAAGGAACCAGGTTACCTCATCACTCATGACCATTAAGGAACCAGGTTACCTCATCACTCATGACCATGAAGGAACCAGGTTACCTCATCACTCATGACCATGAAGGAACCAGGTTACCTCATCACTCATGACCATTAAGGAACCAGGTTACCTCATCACTCATGACCATTAAGGAACCAGGTTACCTCATCACTCATGACCATTAAGGAACCAAGTTACCTCATCACTCATGACCATTAAGGAACCAGGTTACCTCATCACTCATGACCATGAAGGCACCAAGTTACCTCATCACTCATGACCATGAAGGAACCAAGTTACCTCATCACTCATGACCATGAAGGAACCAGGTTACCTCATCACTCATGACCATGAAGGAACCATGTTACCTCATCACTCATGACCATGAAGGAACCAGGTTACCTCATCACTCATGACCATGAAGGAACCAGGTTACCTCATGACCATGAAGGAACCAGGTTACCTCATCACTCATGTCCATTAAGGAACCAGGTTACCTCATCACTCATGACCATTAAGGAACCAAGTTACCTCATCACTCATGACCATTAAGGAACCAGGTTACCTCATCACTCATGACCATGAAGGAACCAGGTTACCTCATCACTCATGACCATGAAGGAACCAGGTTACCTCATCACTCATGACCATTAAGGAACCAGGTTACCTCATCACTCATGACCATGAAGGAACCAGGTTACCTCATCACTCATGACCATGAAGGAACCAGGTTACCTCATCACTCATGACCATTAAGGAACCAGGTTACCTCATCACTCATGACCATTAAGGAACCAGGTTACCTCATCACTCATGACCATTAAGGAACCAAGTTACCTCATCACTCATGACCATTAAGGAACCAGGTTACCTCATCACTCATGACCATGAAGGAACCAGGTTACCTCATCACTCATGACCATGAAGGAACCAGGTTACCTCATCACTCATGACCATGAAGGAACCAGGTTACCTCATCACTCATGACCATGAAGGAACCAAGTTACCTCATCACTCATGACCATGAAGGAACCAGGTTACCTCATCACTCATGACCGTGCAGGAACCAGGTTACCTCATCATTGTCGGGCGTGAGTGAGCCAGGTTCCCACGCCATTCGCGGGCGTGAGGGAGCCAGATTCCCACGTCCACCAGCTGGCTGGTGTGGTCACTGACACATCGGGAGTCAGGTCATGGCGCCAGTACTCCCCGAAGATGGTGGGTTCCCATGATCCCTGATCCCTAACTCAAGGTCAGTAGCGTCACTTGAGCATGCTTATTGCCCTCAGTTCCGGCTGGTTACGTGGGTGATACTGTCGTTACCACCTGGTAATGGCAGTGGTGCACCCACGGTGGAAGGTATCTACCTGGAGGGTGCTCCGGGGGTCAACGTCCCCCGGAGCACCCTCCGCGGCCCAGTCCATGACCAGGCCTCCCGGGGTGAAGCCCTCCCTAGAGGCACCTGGTTACCTGGTTATAATTATTATTATCATGACCATGACCATAACCATAACCATGACCATGACCATGACCATGACCATGACCACGACTGGGCAGGCGATGCAAAATGCCGCCAATAAAAAGTAGGGGCGCCATTGGTACACTAAGAGAAAACACCATAAGTGTCCGGGGCCCAAGACTGTTCAACAGCCTCCCATCAAGCATTAGGGGAATTGCCAATAAACCCCTGGCTGCCTTCAAGAGAGAGCTGGACAGATACCTAAAGTCAGTGCCGGATCAGCCGGGCTGTGGCTCGTACGTTGGACTGCGTGCGGCCAGCAGTAACAGCCTAGTTGATCAGGCCCTGATCCATCGGGAGGCCTGGTCATGGACCGGGCCGCGGGGGCGTTGATCCCCGGAATAACCTCCAGGTAATCTCCAGGTATGATTAGAATTGTTATTATTATAATTATGATTAGAATGGTTATTATAATTGTGATTAGAATTATTATTATTGTTATTATTATTATAATTTTAATATTATTAGTTAATGGGTAATTTTCACTATTATATTGAACAGTGACCACAAAAACACGATAGTGTTTAGTAAGTTTTATAGACACTGCAAAACAAGTTTTTAAGACGATTTCTTTCGTTTTTTTGTGTTCAGTTATTTGAAATCCTGGCTTAAGACCCCAGATTAAAATCCTGGCTTAAGACCCCAGATTAAAATCCTGGCTTAAGACCCCAGATTAAAATCCTGGCTTAAGACCCCAGATTAAAATCCTGGCTTAAGACCCCAGATTAAAATCCTGGCTTAAGAATCCAAAATTGAAATCATGGCTTAAGCCTCCTCCCCTAGAATAAAATCCTGGCTGCGCTAATGACATCTTCAGTGGAATATGGATGAATATAACACTGGAGGCAGTAGTAGTAGTAGTATTGAGGTGATCAGTCTCTCAGCCTTGGCATGAGGGAATCAGTCCCTCAGCTTTGACATGAGGTAATCAGTCCCTCAGCCTTGGCATGAGGGAATCAGTCCCTCAGCTTTGGCATGAAACAATCAGTCCCTCAGCCTTGGCATGAGACAATCAGTCCCTCAGCTTTGACATGAGGTAATCAGTCCCTCAGCCTTGGCATGAGACAACCAGTCCCTCAGCCTTGACATGAGACAATCAGTCCCTCAGCCTTGGCATGAGACAATCAGTCCCTCAGCTTTGGCATGAGACAATCAGTCCCTCAGACCCACAGCAGAGGCGTGCAGACACTTTATACGAGTGGAAATATCCAGGCGCTACACAAGTGTCTTAGTTATCAGCTACTCAAGTGTCTTAGTTACAAGTATATTGTATACCATATCACATTACCGAAGGTATTTATTCTAGAGTTACGGTGTTTTGTTCGTCAGGAAGCAGGAGAAACGTCCACTGAAAGGTATTTTTCTGAGGGTAAAACGTAGCTGTCTCGCCCCAGCTACGTCTTCCTCCTTCATAAAGGATAACCTCGTAGTAATGTAATGAGACGTGTTTATTTTAGCTTCTTTATGTATTGTAATTATTCTGTATTTATTTGGGTGTATGTGTGTGTGTGTGCGCGTGCGTGCGTGCGTGCGTGCGTGTGCGTGCGTGCGTGCGTGCGTGCGTGTGTGTGTGTGTGTGTGTGTGTGGTGTGTGTGTGTGTGTGTGTGTGTGTGTGTGTGTCTGTGTGTGTGTGTGTCTGTGTGTGTGTGTGTGTGTGTGTGTGTGTGTGTGTGTGTGTGTGTGTGTGTGTGTGTTGGGGTGTATTGTGTGTGTGTGTGTGTGTGTGTGTGTGTGTGTATTGGGGTGTGTGTGTGTTGTGTGTGTGTATGTGTGTTGTGTTTTGTGTGTTGTGTTATGTGTGTGTGTGTGTGTTTTGTTGTGTGTGTTGTTGTG